CCATAGAAGCCTGAAAAAGCTGTCAGGAAGTGAAAAACAATTTTGGTTGGATGGAGTTTCTGGAGGTGATTTAATCTAAGCCCCAGCTCAAAGCAGAAGTAATGTTAAAGTTATATATGTGCAAATATTTGCACATATTTTCTGTCCACAGTATATATAAATAAAAAGTATTGTGTATATAGTGAGCACTTCCATATTTTATACACACACACCAAAAAGTAGAAACCTGCAGCAGTGCAATCACTATCCAGCACGAGGATCTGCTCCCAAATGAATAATGACTTTGAGTAATGGCAAGCCAGCCCATTTCTGACAAGATTCTCAGTCATATCCCTCAGAAGGGGATGGGACAGTGTAACCTTGGCCAGGCACCCCTGGGAAGCCAGGCACAGGCACATCCTCCCATGCCACAAGCACTTCCTCAAACCAGTCTGTGCAAGCAAAATAACTCAAGATGACAGCAGATTAGAGATATACTGCAAAGCAGGGATATCTAACTTCCCCTCCTTGCCTAGATCTCCTTCCAGACTGAGTGAAGAACATTCTCACCTGCCCTGCCCACTGGGCATCCTCACCAACAGGCTCTGCAGCAAATTGGGATGATGTTTCCTTGGGCAGCTCTCCCTTGTGGAATTCCCCAGAGCACCGTGACCTCACAGATCCTGCCACGGACACAGGGACCTCCCAGATCTGGAGGTTTTGCTGCTTCCCAAAGATCACATTCACAGCACTGCCTCTGGAAGGGCACATGTACGAGTAGGAGCCCTAATGAAATGCCAGGCTGTCTGCTCCACAATGGGGAAATGTTAAGTCCTGCAAATCTTGTGTCCCTCCTGTGCTTTCCCTGATGCTCTCAGTTTCTGGCGATGTTTCTGAGACACCTCTGAGTGTCACGAGTTGGGTTCTGATTTGCAGAAATAATGTTTAGAGGTGTCATAAAGATATTCTGACAGCTGCAGTTTTCAAGCTAAACAATGGCTATGTTTCAGAGACTTTTAGGATTTTTCCTCCAAAACTAGACTAAGTTTTCACCAGCTGATCTCACAGACACTGATCCTTTCTTTCCCAAGAGCCCTTCTTGTCTCTAATGCTGTTACCTGCTGTGGGAACAGAATGAAAGGCACATCAAACAACACTGGTTAACAGAATACTAGAAAAAGGACAAGGAGCTGTGCATCAATTCCCGTAACAAATCCTTTTTTGGTTTAACTGAAGTTTCAGGGATCACCAGTCCCTCTCTGTGTACTTGCACACACACCAACCCACAGCTGCATATACATCTGTCTCCATACAAACAGCTCCAGCATAGAGCCCCAATATTTGCCTTGCCTTCCCCAATGAGAAATATGAGATTCCATTGTGTTGGCTCAATCCGTGTGGCATCTGCCCTCCTCACCCCAAACACAATTGCCCATGCAAGGAAGGGCTTGTGCTTTAGCAGATCTATTGATCCACGCAGACCTTTGGGTGGGGAGGAAAGCCTCTTTAATTAATTTGGCTGACTTTCAGGTTCTGTTTTGCCTTAACAATGTCTTGAGAAATCCAGTACTGCGTTTTAGCATTGTTATCACTTAACTTAGGTTTGGATTTTTGCTCCCCAGAGAGGCACCTTGTACCTCAGCCTGGCCACCCCATGCTTGGCATCAAAATCAGGCAAAGTCATTCATTTGCCTTCTCTAAGGATTTGATAACCTCTACACTTTCCTCGGGCAGAGGTGTTTTGACCTTTAATTAAAAGGAAAATTTGTTGTCTTCCACTCAGAAGGCAGCAAATAATGAACTCATTAAAATGAGGTTACCGTTCAGGCCTTAGAGCAATAAGAGCCAAAGTCTCATTAGCAGCTAACAATCCAGAACACAGCACATAAATAAACCTAATATGGCAGAGCAAAATGCCTTGGTGCATTAAATTTGAGCAGAATCAAATGTTTACTGTCAATGATGTCTGGGGCATGAAGTTTTAATGTACTTAATGAAGGAAAGCAAATTGCTTCTTATTAGGCATGAAATGTTCCTGCAGAAATCGCCCCAAAAAGTGTATTATGTAAATGAGGGATAGAGTTATAATTAACAAGGACGTAGCAGGGAAATATCAACTCCTTCCTAATAGATGCACCAATTATGAAGAATAAAGACACAGCAAGTTCAAATCTACAAAAGGTAATTATATGGATTAATGTAAAAAGCTACTGAATGCAATACAATGAAGAAACTGTATCTTGTGAGTGTCAGAGAGAAGCTTCACTGACAAAGCAAAGAATCAATTAATAAAGTTAAATCAGTGAGTTTTGAGAGATTCCAGGCAATTAAGGGCCTGCATTTGAAAGAACAACTTAGATTACCTTGAAAAAAGCTCCTGTCTTTGCTCAGTCAGGCACGGAGATGTGCCTGTTTGTCCCTGCACAGCGTGCTCCATGATTCTTTCCTTGGCAAGGATAATTAGCAAGCATGATCTTTTCGACTGTCCCAAAATAACCACCTGTGGGCTCAACAGGGAATGCTGGCTGTATTTCCACAGGCATGCAGTGGGGACAGGGGTGGGATGGGGATCACTGAGCCCAGGGAAGGGGGGATACCTGGGAAGCCAGGGACATCAGGCAGAGTGGGAATAGCTGTGTAGCACCAGGCTTGGGAAGGGAACAGCTTTCCAGCTGTTAAAATTCAATAGCCCTTCTCCACCCTGCAAAGCCTTCAGAATCAAATCAAATAAATGCCTTCTGCCTCCTATGGACCCTGTACAGATCCCAGGAAGGTTTCTGGCCCTGGGTGCCAGGGATATGCAGCCTCTTCACTCTTTCATTAGAGATAGGAAAGGCAGACCCTAATCACCTAAAAAGTTGCTCCATATTAAGGGTGTGGAAGACATTACTGCCCTTCCTCCAAACAGACACGCAGTGACAAAATAAGTTTGGACTGTCTTAGCTGACAGTATCTTCTTAGCATTAAAAAGAGGGGAGGTCACGACAGTAAAATTGAGCTGCTAATTATATAAATTAATATGCATACATGGAAATTGAAATGGCAAGAAAAAAAGACTTTAGGACCAAGCCAAATCCAGTTTGAGTGACAGATTTGCCCTTTAGACAGAGGAAAATGCTTGACACACTGCAGGTACCAGGATTTACATCTTAATCCTCGCTCTGTATTTTTAATGAGGCCCCGCTGGGCTCCTGCCTATTCTGCAGCTCTGTCATCTTCCTGAGATGTGAGGGGAGCAGCAGAGGAGCCCAGGTGATGGAATGATGTTTGTTCCCTGCCCCTTCTCATACTGCGCGTTAAGTGATGATAATTTCTCAAGATGTTCTTCCCTCAAAGGAAAATTAAATTGATTTTGCTCAGCCCATCAGTCTTTCTCAACATATCTAAAATGCTCTAGATAGCTTGGAAAATTATATTCTAAAATATAACTACTCCGATTCTTTGCTTCTGACTTTAATGGTGTCAATTTAGTGGCAGTTTTTACCAGCTGGGGATTTTCCTCAATGTCTCAGCTAACAGTGGTGTTCATCTCTTAAGATTTTACATTTTAGTGAACATTTACTTGTTATATATTATGTAAATATAGTCCCACATGTGAAATTGTCACAGGATTGAAATAATCAACTTGCTAAATGTCTGGCAAGATGGGTTGGAAACCATACAACCACCTTAATATTTAATGCTAAAGCACAAGATTTACTGTCATAAGATTGCTTCATTCCCTTTAGCAAGGAGAGGAATTTGCTTGGTGACTGTTGCAGCTGATAAACACTATCTCAATTTTACATCTTCCTTGCCACCCTAAATATGGTTCTATTTAAAAAAAAAAAAATCAAGGCAGATGCAGTCTCTTGTATTACACTCACACACTTCAGCTCTTAAACCCTGCTTTCAGTGGTTTATCCTGCACTGCAGATACTTTTGGTTTCTGGTCCCAAGTAGGGGTGCTGGTCCTTGCTTAAATTAGACCAAAAAACTATTTTCCTGTGAAGTTAAGTGAAATTATGACCATACAGAACGTAATTTTTTCAAATGAAGGACAACATTAGCTGGGCTAGGGGGGAGTGCAAACCACTGCAATCATTTTATCTTTGAACTCCGCAAGAACATGAAGGTCCAATCAACAGAAGTGTTATTAATAGATAATAGGAAAAGTTCTCAAGGGCCACATAATGGAGGCCCAGAAAATGGATGAAAACAGTTTAGAACCTATTCAGCATTGGCAAGGCCAATAGGGAGTGAAACGGGGCGTGCCCCATCTCACATGCAGCACACCCAAATTCCAGGGGCTGGGCACCCAAAGCAGATCTGTGCTTTGGACCAGCTCGAGGAGCAGTGCAGAGCTAACAACCACTAGAAAACATCAAGGAAAGCTCTCACAGGTTAACCATCTTCTCTCTTTCCCTAGAAGCTGGAAACGTGTCCAAAATAAAAACTGGACAAGTGGCCAAGACTACCTATTTCTTCTAGAAGCAGCAGCCTTTCCTTCCATTTCATTGGCTTATCTTAGCTTGGAGGAGAGAATAAAAATAAACATTAGTTAAATTTAAAATTCATTTATGACATATTTTACCACAGGTCAAACCTGAAGCTTTGCTCATTCACAGTTAAGCCTGAATTTGCTATTCAGGCACAGCCCAAAATGGTCCTGCAGGTAAGTAATGCCCAACGCCTTCATGCCTAGATGATGAGCAGTACTCCTAATTTTATTTTGGGTTTTAAGCACTTTTTATCAAGCTTCACTAATAACCCAAAGCGTGGGTGACCCAGTGATCCTGTATATTGCTGCCTCTGAGTGGCTGGATTTGAGTCCTGCCGTGGAACACTGCCCCAAGGGATAATATCCTGGGCCAAGCCACTGAACCATCACCTCCTTGGATACTCAGGCACTCTCACTACCTTTTCTAGTTCATCAAACTCTCATTGAATAAATTAAGCTCTCTGTAATAGTCCTATTAAAAAGATGAGCCCAAAATAATATTAACTTTTCTAAATCCATATTAATTTCTTATTTATTTCAGGCTTTACTAGAGACTCAAAATTTACTGCGCACTCAGGTTGCAAATTTTACCTTCAACCTTGGATTTTCAGGAAAATTTTACCACACAGGTAAGAAGGAACTTCATGTAGCTAAATAGGTGACAGAATTTTAAATCTAGCTTTAAACATTCCCTTTCTAAATAATCAGTGACTCACTGGGAAATGTGTGTTCCACCATTTCAGTGTCCAAAGGGGTAAGGACACACTAATGATGAGCTGCTCAGGTACACAAGGATGCCCTTGATGTTTTCCTGAAAGATGTGTGGTGGTAAATCTTAGTGCTATAAAGGAGGCAAAGTAGTTGCAGAGATCTCTCTAATTCCTCAGGAGACAGGCCAGCACAGAAGACAGAGTAAGGTTTTTCAGGAGTGGTAGGCATGATGAAATATAAAAGATTGGGAAAATCATGTCTCAGAGCCACTGAGGAGGCAGAAGCATTTCAATGGGATGCACCACATTTTGTTATGCCTGTGAAGAAAATCTGTCTCAGTAATCTGCAAATCAGGGGGGATAATAAAGGACATGATGAAAAGAAATTTGTATTGAAACCTGTGCTTCTGTGGAAAATGAGGCACTTCCACACCCCCTCGTCCTTGTGACTCCTTTCTCCTTTTTGCTCCATTTCTTCACAGCACAATACACCCTTCTTAAAAATGTTATTTCTTTTCCTCCTCTTTTGCCTTCCCATTTGCTGCACCTCCACTCTGGCTTCCCTGTTTGCTGCACTGAGCTGTGCTGCTCCCCAGTCCTGCTGAGGCAAGAAGAGATTCCCTGAGGCAAGGGAGAACCTCCTGTCCTTCTTTCCAAACCCCATAACCATTCCCACCTCTGGAGACCAGCTCCCAAAGCCTCAGTTTCAGTCCATTCAGCCACACTCACTAAGTGATGCCAGGAAAACTTATCTGGACCTTGGGAGAAGGCAGCAAGAGGATGGGAGGGTGAGTTTAAAACCTAGGAACCTGCCTTCCTAGACCATGAGGCAGCTGGATGAGGAGAGAGAAGGCACAATGATGTGTTTGTATCACTGTCTTTAAGTCCAGTCTGTTCTCCCCTTGTTCAAGCACTTAATGCTGAGCAACTGCTGCCCAGGAAACCTTCTGGACTAAAGATCCAGGCTAGAGAGCCTGGGAAAAATGAGAGGCAGACAGAGATGGGATGACTTGCGTGCAGTCACATAACAAGGCAGTGGCAGAGCTGTGGTCAGAGAGCAGCTCTGGAGACAGAACCACACACACAGCACTTCACACTGCCTTGCCTGTGCAGCTGCTCCTGCTGCAGATGAGCTGGGCTCATGTGCAAGGCAGCAAAACAAACAAAAGCAGCCCGAGGCTCTGAGCTGCTCTAAAGCAGGAGGCTGCTCACTTGTGGCCATCTCCAGAGCACAGCTGGTATCAAACACTCGTGTCCTTTGTGGAGAAAGGTGATCTGTGGAGGGGAGGAGATGGAGGAAGAGATGCTATTACTAAAAATATTATGACATAGTGGGCAGTGGCTGGCAGAGAATATGTAGCCTTTGTGAAAACACCACTCCCTGACCTACCTTTTCGTTCTTTCCTTCATCCCAACACCCTCCACAGGTTTGTCACAGATTTTCTGATACAATGCTGAGCAATTTCAGAGTTGCTAGTGCTGTAGAGAGAGAAAAGCGGAGGATATGCATGTGTGTCCATGCTCCTCTCAAGGCTCCCAAAATAGCACAGAAATACTTCCCAAGCTGAAGCATGTCCCTGGCTCCATGAAGAGGCTTGGATGCAGCTGGGTTTTTAACAGAGCACTTCATTTACAGGGTGGGGATGGCCCTTTCTCATCTCAGCTTACTGGAAAGCTTGCAGCATATTCTCTATACTCTTTATCGACTCATTATAAATAAAGCCTGGAAAGATGTTCTTTAATTACTGTACACATGGCTTGCTGACCCACAGAGGCTTTTACTAGCAGGTACTCAACTTGCTTAGTGTGGCATTGTGCTCTCCTTTCAAAACTTGGATCATGTTAAAACTACAGGAGGGAGAGGAGTGTGGGGATGTGTTAGCAGATTAAACTGTTACGCATTTTCCTGGAAAGATGCTGCTGACAAATCAGATATTGCAGTAGATCAGGCCACATCAGCTGGCAAACTCTGCACTGCATTAACACCATTAGCAAAGAGAATGAGCACACCCTGTTAGTTCTGCAGCTTTAACAAACACTTCCCCCTCACTCATGCTGCAGCAATTGAAATGAAGACATTCTCAGGATTTGCATTTATGATGTACAAGATTATTGGCAGCAGCTTCCAATCACATAACTACAGTTATAATTTTAAAATACGGGGTGAAAAACTATGCACAAACAAACTTTGAATTATTACCTGTGTAAAGTGCACTCAAAGCAGATACATGCTCACCCTGTTCATAGCTTCTATGCATTTTTCAGATTTCACATTTAAATAAAGACAGTTACAGGATGTTGATTGTACAAGAAATTAAAACCTCAAGATCCCTTGTTTAGCCTCCAATACTCTGAATAAGGAGTTGGGCAGAAATATTTAAACAATATAAGCACCCACCAAATGCTCCACGCAAACTTGGCAGATTTTTTTTGAAATAACACTACCTAAGAATTCATAAAATCAAACAACATTCTTTTCTAAGGTTTGTGAGAATATTTAACCTCATAAGCAATGCCACTACCTAAGGTTAAACTTGCAACCTTTCTGCCTCACCTCTGGCATTACAGGATGGGGTTATTCTTCTTTAAAATGGAAAGCACTATCTTGTTTGGTTTTTGTTATAGTAAAAGAAGTGCAAGGTTTTATTAGGTGTATATCTAAATTTACAAAGAAATTAATGGGCAAAAGCAGAATTTATTTCAAGAACCACACTCTACTCCAGAAGTTAATAAGGCACTAAATTATACTTTGACCTAAATCTACCATCTTTGATTGTAGTTCTTGATGTATTTCAAATTCCCACTTGTTTCCTCTCCATCCCTAACTTTGGCTTGTCAAAGACATCCTCAGCTGCCTCACAAACCCCATTTTGTCCCTGCTCTGTCCCATTTGGAAAGCCTTTGTTAAGTTCCTTCCCTTGCCCATGCCTGAGTGACTGCAAAGGAAGCACATCCCCCAAAACCAAGCCAGCAGTCACTCCCAAAACTCAGGGCACAGAGGGAGCAGCCATCAGGCCTTTCTTTTCAGTGTGGAATTCTCCAGTAAACAAGGTTGTTTTCTTTTTCCTGCAGCACTCCCATCAGCAGGAGCAGCTCCCTTAGAACTTGCAGAGTGCTGCAAAGAGGGGAGCAAAGGGATTCAGTGACTCTGGGAGAAAGTTTCAAAGTACTGCTCTCCTTGTGTAGTGGCATTCTTCAAAAACCACCACAGAAATGGAAAATAAAAGCCAAGAGCTGAAGTGCAGGCACTGATCAGCATCTCTGGATGTTCCTGCCAAGTAAACAGTGACATCCGTGGAGCATTTGCTTCCAATGAGTTTTGCAAAACATTAAAGGGCCTGTGAGAAGATTTCCATGTTTGCATCAGGAGACCAATTTTGGCAATTATTTCTTAGACTGAAGCAAAATAAAAGCATTCAAATGGCAAAGCACACAAAGGAAATGTGCTAAAAACCAAATATTGTTGGGTACCTTGAAGGTGAAGCTACTGGAATGTCACTTTGCCTTTCCAGGCTGGAAAAGCAGGGCAGATGTATCTGCAGATGGTGGGAGCAGCACTGGGTCCTTTCTGAAATGGAAGGTTTTCTTTGTTGCAGCCACATATCCTCACTTCTGCCTGAAGCAGATACCCTTCACCAACACATGAGGTTTTATTGGGTTTACTTCAAGATTAAATCTGGCCAAAATTGAATACTGAACCCTAAGAAATGTTTGGAAGCCTTTTGCCATTACAGCTTCATGCTTTCCACCTAACTGTATCTTAAAACTTGTTTCACACTCTACCAGAAATGATCAGATTTCAGTTAATCAAGGGTAATAAAGTGGTAGTTACAAGGAGGATAGAGGGGAAGCATTGGTAAGATTTCATTTTTATCCATATGTTGCCTTTATGGAGAGTATTTTGTATTTAACAGCGACATTATTATCAGGACAAAATGGAAAATAACTGATACCTTTTCTTTAATACTGAACATCATCATTTGTCCAGCTTTCAAAAGACTTGGAAAGCAGCATTAATATTCCTGACACTGTTTTGTCACGTTAAATCCAAGCTGCCAGGTTATGGGGATGAAAAAGATAGTGTGGCATTCAAATGAAGCAAACAGAGAAAATGGGGAGGGGTGGTTTTTAAGATCATATATGTTAAAAAATAAGTCCTACTCTTTATATTTAATATTCCCATAGTTCATACACATAACAGGAACACAGTGAGACAACTCAAGGACACCAAGGTTTTTGGCAGACACTTTTATGTTTAAAAAGCAATTATGGGCACGTTTTGCTTTCTAGTATCTTTTTTGTCCCTTTCTTCCCTCTGCAGGGACTGAGGAGGAGGATGAGGGCGATGACCTGCTGCTGAGATCTGTGGATGAGTTCTGGTGGTTTCCCCATATGTGGAGTCACATGCAGCCACACCTCTTCCACAATGAGTCCTCACTGGTGGAGCAGATGATCCTCAACAAAGAGTTTGCAATGGTGAGTAAGAGATGCCTTCATGACTACGGCCATGCCTTCCCCACTGCTTTCATTCTTGTCTATGCAATACCTATGTATTTACTCAGGCATGCAAACAGAGGCAGTGAGGTTAGAAACTCATCCCAAAGCCAGCCTGTTTGTGACTCAAACTGAATTTAGACTTAGCCTTTCCTGTTGGCACAGGCTCTCTGCAGAGGGAGCAGCCCTGCCCCAAGTATCCTGGCAGGGCCATAGGGATCAGAATCAGTGAAAACACAGCAGATAGCAGCTAGCCTCCTAAGCTTTAGGCAGCAGTTTGTACACAGGTTATCCTGCTAAAGTCTGCTGCAAACATCCTCAGTAAGGCAGGGAGGAAGTTGCAGTGAACCCTGAACCTGGTGTATGGTTTGGGAGAAATCTTGGTGCTGACTGAGCCAACAAGCAAAGCTGCTGGGTTTCTCTGTGCCTTTTTAAATGACCTGCTTGAAAAATGCTCTTTATATAGCTAACCTCTTGCTAATATTGACAGATAACGATGCTTCCCTTTTCCTCATTTGTGCTCTGAACTTCCATGAGCCACACTCCCCCTTTGCCCAGACCTCACAGTACTTGTATTATTTACAGCCTTTTCAGGATAATTCTGCTGGCTTATTGCACACGACAAAGAGAACCTGAAATGTATAAATGCTGGCTTTGGAAAGACACTGTGTGGTCTTTGGCCAGGCACAGAAATGCCAAGCAACCAGAGCTGCTCACAGGAGCTGAGGGACACAGTGGGGCTTTCTCAGCTGCTTTGGGAACAGCAATTCCCCAGCCCTCCCCAGCTCCAAAAGACCAAGCCCCTTCCTCCCATGCCTCACATGAGCCAAGGCACATCAGGAAAAAGGCAGAGGCAAATGCCTGAACAAGCAGTTGGAAGCAATTTATTCCCTTGTTTATGGAAATACTTTCCGAACAACCTTTAAAGAAAATTAATTTAAAATGGCTTAACTGTTTGCTCGTTATGCCAGACTTCCCCCCTCCTTCCCATCTCCTGCTTGGCAGGCAGACTTCTTTTCCTTTCTACAGTTCTGCTTCCCTGTCATCCTCATTCCTGGCACAGCCTGTTCATATCTTTTGTGTAGCCTGGCCCAGAGACCCAAACAGTGCTGAGATCTTAAATGCAAGAGTAATTTTTTTAAACAATCCATACCTCAAAAATACACAGTCCCTTCATCTTTAAACCTATGGGGAAATTCTCCTAGTATTTTCAGGAAGCATGGAGCCGTCCATGTCGAGCCACCTTTGGGAGTAAAACCTATAGCATAGCCTGAAAACAGAGCTGGTAATGGAATGTGTTTGTAACTTCCACTCCAGAAAGATAAAGCCTGTGTCCTGAAGGGTAGAGACTCCTTAGGGTGCCTATAAATAAGGAGCTGATATCAGTGAAAAGCTGCTGTTATTACACTTTTATTTCCTGCTAACATTTCAACAGGGGTTGTATCAACCCCTTGACCTTGAATCTATATGAGCTGTACAATTTACTTATGAGAACATTTCTTTTCAAAAGGCTTCCTCGGAAATTCTCTCTTGTGGGAGAAATTCATCTTCCCTCTATGACAGCCTCTCTGATAGCTATCAGAGAGGTCCCAGCCATGACTTCAGAGTGGGTTTCATTCCTCCCTGTCTCATCCTCAGCATCGTGTCTCCTTTGAGAAACAAACTCCCTGTTCTGCAGCTGCACTGCTCTAAGCCCTCCAAGTTAAAGCAAACCTCTTCCCATTATTCTTTGATGTCACAAGGTGGATCCAAATTTAAATTAGACATCTGGAACAGTACACGGAAAATTTGCTTGATGTTACACATGTTTTGTTTGTTGTCCACTATCTTTATTTATATTTATTTTATATTTATATCTTTATTATACTCAGGAGAACACAGCTTGATGCTGGTGCCATTTTGTCTTGCATTTCTCATTTATTGACCATATCTCCCCACCTCCAGTTTTGGCTGCACATAGAAGTGACACTTTGTGTCAGCTTCTGCCAGGAAAGCTGCAGTAATTATTTGGACGTGTGATCACATTAATTCTTCACCTAATGCACTATTTCTTTGTTCACTTTTTTAAACATGGCTAAGGAGGTAACAGGGTTTTCAGGAAGGGAGAGCACATCATTATCTACAAGAACAATACTCAAGGTTGCTGAAGATCCCAAATAACACCTACAAGTTCTGTTTATTATTAGAGACCTTTTGTCTCCTCTGGCTGGTAGATAAAAGCCTGGCTCTGCTTCACATGGCTTTATCCACACCTCCTAACAAGGCTCTGTAAAATGGGAGCTTACAATTGCAGCCTGCCTCACGCGGCTCTGTCACAGCACACAGATAGAAATCAGGTATCTAAACAGCTCTTTACAAACAGAACTAATTGCTAATTAGGTGTCTAATTGCCTTGATCTCAGTGCAGATATGGACCCCTCTGTACATCTGCCTTCAAAGATTCTCTTCCATGCATGTTGCTTGTGAACCAGGAGACTGCCTTCACCCAGAGCCCTCCAAATTGTTCCATGCATCCCTGAGATGTTTATAATTTCCACTGCCTACATGGTGAGAGGAAGAAACTTCTACATACTCTGCAATAAATGCCCTTGCCCCATTGCTCTGGATCTGGCTGGCAGCAGGGGAAGTTTTGCCTGGCAAAATCCTTATCCATGTGTCCCTGAGTGATGGGCCCCACAGCTGCACCATCCATAGCCCCAAGTCCCAAAGTCCTCACTGCAAATCTCTCATCAAGCACAAGATCCTCAGCCTCAGAGGAACAAGAGACAGGGATTTTAACTGTGCTAAACTAAGCCACAGGTCACCCAAAGCTTTGCTATCCCAATGTCATCCTATTTATGGAAGTATGGATGGTGTGTTCCAGAGCCCGCCTAAGGAAGTGGGAAATTACAATTCATTTGATTTTCATTTGGGTTTGAGTTGATCACGTTTTATGGTTTGGGTTTTTCTCTAACAGAGGATCCTAAAACCCTTTAAAGACACTAATGAACAAAATCTCGGATTAAATTTTACAAACTGATAATTCTTCAAGTATTGTTCTCCTTCTTTATAGGCAATGCAATGGATACACAGAGGCAAAAAATTGCTCAAGGGGAAGACTCTGATAGCATATATTCCAAAAATAAAACAAACCAAGCTTCCCCTGCCATCAACAACAAGCTATTCCTCCTCCCCCTTTGTACATCCTTATCTGACAAAAGGAAGTAGAATGTATCTAATCCAAAGCCTGTAGCTCTTTATTCCATCCGCTGGTTTGTTTGCTCAGTGATTATCTTCTGTGCTCATTTGTGAGTACAGAGCCCAAAGCACAGCAGAGACGGGACAAAAAACTGTCACTGGCTGTACAAGGCAGCTGTGAGCTGACAGGAAGAAGAAACAAAGATGTAGAACTAAACAAATCAATTGAGAACTTGTCTAGCAGCACTCCTTGGCTCCCACCTCCTGCTCACAGCCAACTGCAGATGCACATTAGCACTTCCTCTGCCTGCACCTCTAGAGCTGCTCAAGCCACAAGTACACCAGGAGCTTTTAATACACCAATTAAATCCCAACAATACGAGGGCCCAGTGACCACACAGCCAAGGCAAAGCATCTACATGTGATGAAAAGAGCCTAATTTGTCTCATTATTAATATCTGCACTTAGTGTGGGGAGGGAGAGATGCCCGCTGGAGATTGGTTCTAAAAATGGGCTGTGAATAAGGGATAACATCATTCTGTGCAGCAGGATGAGATTTATTCTGCCTCATCTTATTTTCTTCTGAAATACTCATTTGCTGTATCACCTGGTATCACACAAGGCCAAAAGGTTGGGCAAACTTAGCTGAGGTGTTATTTAGCTTTTTCACCTAATAAGAGACTTCCCACCTGCACCTTGAGTGACTGTGTGCAAAGACGCACAGTAGACATAAAATTTATTAAATTAAAAATGTGTGTTCTTATTTTCTCTGAAAGTGGCAAATCATACCTACATTCGAAACTAAACCAACAAACACAAGTTTTGACATAAAAAAAACCTCCCAATGTACATTTTCAATGTAAAAATCGGGAAATTGCTCCTTAGAATACACAAGAAAAGTGCTCAGTACAGGTATTTCTCATATCTTGACACACCAGTACACTCCTCCTTTAACACATGAGTTTTCACTCCCAAAGTAAGTTTAATAACAACATGAAAGGAAAAGAAGAAAAGTGCAACAGAAAACCACTGAAAGGGGACACACAGTATTTAACCTTCCCAGGTAAACTGCAAATAGAACTGCCCGAAGAAAACACAATTATTTGATAGTTGTTTCTTCTTAACTCTCTATTTGTGTGATGAGCCACATAGTGAGCAGGTTTTATTCAGAGGCTAACTTGTGTTTTATGTTGAGAACTCCTGCAAAACTGCCCGATTTTATTTGTGAGTGGCAGATCACCATTTCAGCATTCTGTTGCTATGGCAATTCCAGCATCAAACAGTCAGGAGATCAGCAGGACCTTAGACATAGTGATCCAGATCCCTACTTTGGGATAAGTCATCCAGAGCAGTGTTCATTGTCAACCCCAGCACACATCTGCCTTACATCTCTTTTTCTGTGTCCCCATTTGGTGAAGGTTTGTACACAAAAGCTGAGACAGGATATTCAAGTTAACAGTTTGACAGTCTGAGCATCACAGGCCTCCCAGGCATGGCAATAAATGGCCAGATTCAAAGAAATCTTTTGATACACCTTTTTACATGTCCCTGGCAAAAAAAAAAAAAAAAAGAGAGAGAACAGGGTGATTTACCATCTGTCATTATAGAGCTGTCTCTCATCCCACCCTTAAACTGACTCATGCCTCTCAAGTAGGTAACAGCATTAATGAAATGAAATTACATTTAGTTCTCAGTTAATTACAAAATAGAGAGTTTGGGTTTCTCTTTTACAGGATTGGTCTGTAACTGGAGGTCTTCGCTATAAGGAATGGATAATTTAAAGTGTTGCATTATGTGATGTAGGAATGAGTGTTCCCTACAGATTTAACTTAATTTTTTCCAATGACTCAAAACCCTTTCTTTGTTAAGTACTTGAAGATGCCCAGCAGAGCTTGCTGTTCCTGGAATTAAAGTAATCAATGGATAATGTGGGCAAGAGGAAGGACAAAAAAACCCCATAAAATAATCATCTCATATTTTAGCTATTTCCCTCTGCAGATCAGTTTTAAAAGAGTAGAAAAGAGCTGCTGTCTCCGGTAGTACTGGGAGCAAGATGAATTTGTGTCTTTGGAAGAGATTTGCAAGATAACCTGTAGATTATATGATGAACACGCACATATTTCCATATAGAAATGGAGCTAAATATAAATATTGATAAAATGTAGAAGTAGTCCAAGCTATTTTTTGCTATACCCTAACACCATGGAAAAAAATAAGGAGGTTCAGAAGATATGTGGAACAGACTGGGAAGGAATCTTTCTCCTATGCCAGAACTAGGAAACAAAATTCTATGTATGCCACTGCAACATTTTTTTTTCCATCTGTTTACTAGCTTAGTAAATAAGCAGCATTGGTTTACTAGATTACCTTTAAAAAGGACCAGACAGGTAGGATGCATATGTATCCAAATATGTAGCAGAACAAGGGGTAAATCTATTCCACACAGCAGCAGTGGAACATGATCCAGGAGGATTACTCCTCCCTGCAGTCCCCCAGCTGCATTCCCAGTTCCCTCCACCTGCCCCCATTTCCAGCTCGTGCTGTCCAGGGGCAGCAGCAGCTTCTCCAGTGCCACTGTGTGCAGGAATGAAGCTTTGATGAACGACGCGGGGGGTTTTCTGTGTGTCCCTAACCTGTCCATCCCTGTGGTGGCCCTCAGGAGCACGGCATCCCCACGGGCATGGGCTACGCGGTGGCCCCGCACCACTCCGGCGTGTACCCGGTGCACGTGCAGCTCTACGAGGCCTGGAAGAAGGTGTGGCACATCCGTGTGACCAGCACAGAGGAGTACCCACACCTGAAGCCTGCACGGTACAGACGGGGCTTCATCCACAATGGCATCATGGTACACTGCATTTCCATGTTCATAGCAATACTACTGCAGGGACCCCCGAGGGGCTGCTCTCACTGCAGGCCTCACCTCTGCCAGCATCCTTAAAATTCCCCGGGACCCAGTGGTTGTAATGATGCCCAAAGAGTGCGTTTGTTAGGCAGTATAAAAGAAGGGGAAAAACAAGTCACACAGACTCAGGCAACTGCAGAAGTATTCCTCAGAAACCAAACGTGCTCGTGGCCCCATCGGCTACCAAGCGAGTCACGGCTGCACTCTGTGAAATCATTAAACTGCCTAAGACCTCTGTTCCCAGCTCTGCTTCATCTTTATGCATTAAAGGATTAGAAATCCATCACCTGGGAAGGTGAACAGGCGGAAGTAATCTCCACCAGCACTTCTGCAGGGCTGAAGTTGTAGCTCTGCTCCTGAAATTCCCAGAGGCAGGACTGGGACACCTGCCTGACTCTTACACCCTGTGCACTTTGCCAGGGGAGAGAAAGCTCTTCCCAGGCACTTAGAAATGCACAGAGGACAGGAAAACTTAGCAAGCCCTTTGGCCTGTTCTACCAGCCAGCTGCAAACCTCTAGGCTGGGTGTGCTAAAGTCAACTGATAAATATTCCAGGCGATGGTTTCAAGTCCCAAAAGCTGCTCTGAATATTGCCTGTGCATACCAAGTCCAACTTGTGATCCCCTAAACAAGCCAGAGAGGGTGTCTCAAAAGCAAATTCCTGCAGAGCCCAATTACTGCTGGAACAGACAAAATCAGCAGTGTTTTTACACATGTACCCTAATGCTCTATAAATGCAGGTTTTGGTTGTTTCAACTGAGTAAAAAAAAAATAAAATATTGAATTGAAGTAAGGGAAACAAAAGTCCTTCCCCAGGCTGATTGTGGCACTGTGTAAGCTGCTGTTCCTCTGTTCCCAGGTGCTCCCTCGACAGACCTGTGGCCTTTTCACTCACACTATTTTTTACAAGGAATATCCTGGTGGTCCTCAGGAGCTGGACAAAAGTATCCGAGGAGGTGAACTGTTCCTCACCATTCTCCTGAACCCCGTAGGTACCTTCTTTTGCTGTTGTTTGGGTGTGCTGACTAACAGGGAGGAGGGAGGGAAGGGTCAAGGGAAGGAGATCAAATTGGGAAATAGGAACCAGCACCACTTGCTCAGAGGTAACAAGCAGTTTAAGAAGAAAGGAGAAAAATGTCTTCTGCCAATGTCCAGCTACAGCTGGAATATATGTGCAACCATTTCCTGGGAAATGCATTAATTCTAGCTCCTTATTGTTTCCCAGCCTGAAGCCAGGTCCCCCTAAGAGACATGTCTGAAGCTGAGACTAACCTGTGAGGGCAAAAAAACTGATCTTGTTCTTTTTTTTTTTCTCTTTTTTCCACGAGCTTGGCTCCTCAGGCACTCCTCATATAGCTCAATGGAAACCCCAGGGCTGAGGCCTGATATCATTCCTCCCCCACCAGCTCCTAAAAAATAGGTTTTGAGCTGCTAAAAAACTGCCCGGTACTATTTAAGACAGGAGCCTAGAGGTGCAAGGAGCAAGGGAAAGAGCCAAAACCCCCCAGTATACCAATTATTTTTTCTTGACATTGTTCTCTCTCCTTCCCATTCCACCCAAACAAGCTGCACTTGGCACAAGATGAATGTCCCTTGTCTTGACAGGGACATTTTCAGTGAGTTTAAACTGCAGTATTCATTGACTCCTCTGCAGACCTAAAGAACCTTCAGGTGGAGCTGACTCTCAAATCTAGGTCACTTTAATTTAGACACCTAAATATAGATTTTTGGTGTTATACAGTCAGATGCTGGTGAGTGAACATTTGGCTGGGTAAGTAAGTTGGTGTCCGAGTCAGATTCAGTGGTCTTATAGAAATGGAACATTTCTATCAGGAATTTTTCTATACCATAACATGACACCTCATTTAAGAATCAAACACATCTCTCTTCTTGATCCTGTCTCCCTACTACTTGCAGTTCTCTCAGGCTGGCTTTTCTTCCCATGCTTTCCTGAAGTGTAGCTTGGAATTCACACTGAGCTTTATCATGCTTGCATGAATACCTGTGCATTTCTCACTTATGTGAAGATTTCCTCAGATTTGGGCAGTGCAACAGCCTGCAGCAGAGCACATAGAGCTCCTTACCCCACAAGAAATGCTTAGAAGAGCCCAAATTCCTCAGCCAGCCTGTGCCCCAGCACCTTGAGAGTGCCCTAGATATTGGTGGTGGTATTTGAAAAAACTGCAGTGATCAACTTTTCATTAAACAGCTTTTCAAGAGGTTTATAAAAACTGTGTCCCTTCCTCAGGTCATGGTTAGCAATTTCAGCAAATGTATTACAAATACCAAAAGTGTTTGTGCTTCCATGAAGCAATACCACACAGATGGTTAAATTAGAAAGTGCCCAAGGGACACTGCACTGGAATAAAGTTTGCAGAGAGATTATCATGGGGATCTTCTGATGGAATTTTTTTTAAATAGCTTCTACTGAATACTCCATGGCTCAGAGAGATATTTTCACTTTCTAATTTATGAGTCCCAAAGATGAGTCATGTCTGGCAGAGATGATTTAGTAGTAGGCAGAGGAGGGATAAATTCCACCAAGACAGGCAGAAATCAAACCAACTTCCTTGGAGTCTTAATGAGGGTTACAAGAATCCCAGGCAGACCTTTCCAGAACCCAGCTAAGGCAGCAGGCTGCTCAAGTCTGCAGTTTGGGCTACTTACTCTTTGCATAAACACTTCAAAGCAAAGCTCATTACAGTTAGTAGGGAAGGCTCAGCAAACAGACTGGGCTTGAAATAAACCCAAATAGTCAAACTCTTTCAAAAGTATCAATCCAGCTCCCCTCTGAAGGGTTTCCTTCATTTGGAGGCTAAGAGCAATAACAAGGAGCTTCAGATGTATGTATAAATAAGAAATACAAATACAGTGTGGGGCAGAAAATGAAATATCTTCTTGGACTTCTGCTTTACTATTTGATACAAGTAAGAAAAATTCCAGTTTAAAGTTTCTTATCTCCCTTGCCAGACCAAAGCTGGATGTTCAATCAGAGTTAAGTTATAATCATCTTTGATGTTATTTACTGTGTGGTTTGACAAACATCAAAACCCAGTTAGTCACTAAATCTTAATTAGGACAGGCCTCCCAAAAGCTGTAGCATCAGCACTTGCACAGCAGCAGTGAAAAGAGAGCAGCAAAACCACCACACTCACTGGAAAGAAGAGGGGGGAAAAAAATGACATCTAAAACTTCAACCAACCAAAATGTAAAAAAGCTCCACAAAACTGGTTTTGTGCCCAATCTAATTTTGATAGCAAAATAAAACTTGTCCCAACACTATGATTCTTGTGATAGCATAACTACATCTATTAAGTGTAGTTAGATCTTAAGCAAAGAAAACACATTAATACTCAAAGAATACATTGCTACTCATGATGTATCTTCAAAGACAGGAGTGCAAAGAGCATCAGACAAGAAAATCACCATGTCCTTAACAGGAATTTAACACTACCCAGCTATGTAAATATGGTAGAAAATCCTCTGGTTCTGATCAGCATTGTGAAAAAATATTTAGGCTTTCTGCAGGTGTGCAGCATTCCACAGCTCCAGCAGCAGAAGCAAAGTCAGCCTGAAATTCATAAAAATTTATTTTCTGCTTAAAACCATTTTGAACAGCATCATGTCATTTTTTTCTCTTCCTAAACCTTCCCAATTCTTTACAACTTTTTGCAGTGCTTTGAGATGTCTTTTTAACATTTGCTTCATTGGGTTATATAAGATGAAAAAAAGCTTATGGCATTTCAAATGAGTTCAACATTTCAGTTATTTTCAGCCTTTTTAAAATTCTACCTCTCATTATTTGCTTAGCTTAATTGTGCTTTAGAACAACTTTTTCTTCTCACAGAACATGTTCTTAAAATCTCCCTTCCTCACTGTTTATTTCATCAGTGCTGTGCCACATTGGTTTCCTTTTAAACCTCTTCCCATCAGCTCTCCAGGCACTTCTGGTTTTGCCACAGTCCACAGAGAAACACAAGGTAACCAGCAGTAAAGCCAGCCTGCTTTAAGGTGCCTGCTTTTTTTTTTGAAAGGGAATTTGGTGTGGAAGCTGTGCTGTTTTCCAAGGCTCCCAACATCTGCTATCATGACCATACACAGAGCAGGAGGTGGAGAGAGCAAATGGGATGAAGAGAGCAAATCCCTCACTTTGCTTCCAAATGTAACCCAGGATAATTCAGAATTAAAAGCAGCCCATTTGTAACAAAGTCCCCAAAACTGAAATGCTTGCAGCAGCAGCAAAAAAAGGGCAGGTTTCTCATCGGCAAAATCGGAGAACTCCATTCGAGTTGAAGTTTTCAGGGAGATTTTCCACATCCAAATGTCAGGCTCAAAAGCGAGTGGGTTCTCTGACCGCTGCCCTTCACTCAGTCTCCCGAGGAAGAGCCTGACATGTTTAATGCTTTTACAAACTGTTCTATTTATCACCTCTTGAGCATCCACAAGGTCTCCCACTATCTGTTTCATGGCTCCTTTCCTTTCCTCCCCTGCTCCACAGGCCATAAACAACAGCCATAAACATTTAACAGCCAAGATAAGCTAATAAATACAGCCCTAAATATTATTGCCTCTACAAACAACAGCGAGAGAGTAATTTCTCCTAAAAAAACACCCCTTTAAACCAGATAGCTTTTTATTAAGCCAGCAAGTGACAGCACAAAGGCACCTCAGTCGAGCACTACAGCAAGAATGAGTGCATGGGGCTTTGAGGAGAAGCAGCAGCACCCGTGGGCCTGGTTGAGCAGTCAGTGGATTGGATTTATTTGCCAATGTGATGCACATTTTCCCATTACCTGTTCACCTTGAAAAGCTTTTGGATAACCCAAAATCCTGGCACCCCTCGCCTGCAGCACCCTTCCCACTCTTCCTTTCTCTCCTGGTTACACAGAAATTCACTTGGGCTGACTCTTCCTTTCCCCTTCCTCTCACAGGGTGTTTCTACTCTGTCTCCCACTGACTCCTTTCCATAGTTCCACCATAAAAATGGGGACAAGTCATTTTTCTCACTATTTTTATATATATAATCCTCCCTACTCTAGATTTACACCTGCCTCACCACACAGGGTCTAGAGTCAGGCACAGCACACCCTGTGCAGCATTTGGCCCAGAAAGCCACCAAAGTATCACGTATTTGCAACTGACAGATCAGGTTAAAAATGGAAAAGCAGCAGAAAAAGGGAGAAGTCAAACACTTCTTCAGGCTTCTCTTCCCACTTCAATCAAACAGCTCTAAGAAGCTTTAACCAGAGGTGAAACGTGGCAGATGAATTTCAGGAAGATTAGTTTTTCTTTGCAGGAATTTGGTTGTCGACAGCGAAATCAGACCTGTGATTGAAAGGTAACTTTGAACTCCCCTCAGCAGAAGCTACAGGCAGCCCATAATAATGCACATTATCATTCCAACTCCCTGAGAAGTGGCATGGGACGCTTTTAATTCTGAGGGCCACTTAAAGGCATTTCCATTTTTAAACTCTCACCGTGACTAAAGGGCTCTTGCTCATTTCCAGCCTGTTAGATCTGCATTCTCCACGTCCCGCATGTGCCACACTTGGCAGATTTTGTTCTTGTTCCCTGCTCTCTCTCATCACAGAGACAGAGGAGAATCACACATTATTGCTTTGGCATATTAAAAGTAAATGCAAAGAGGGGTTAATTTATACCTTCCACAAGAGATTTGGGAATGTTATTATGGAACATCTTGAGTGTTGGTAATGTTTTTCTTTTTATTTGCTTTGTTTCTCTGAGCATAGTTATAGAAAGAATAAAAAATAACCTTGGGCATTGTAGGAAATGTGCTGCAACCCAAAAGTAATTCACAGCACAGTTCTGCTGAGGGCCCTGTGGGCTGAGCATCTCAGCACATCCTGGGGACAGGAAAAAGCAGGCAGGCAACATCCCAATAAAAAATGTAAATATTTGTGGAGCTGCAGTTATCAGTGTGCAGCCCACAGGGACAGACATGTCCCTCTCCAACCCGACGAGAGGGAAAGGTTCATTCCACCAAATTAAAAAGGAGTTTTATTAACAAGTTACATCAGTATTTATCTTAATGGTCATAAACACACAAATCAACACTGACCTTCCTCATGTTCCTGAATCTTTTTCTGCTCTTGGTAAATCATTATTTTTCCCCCTCATCCCACATGGCTGCACAGAGCTACTACAGGGAAATATTATCCCATGGAAACTCAAGCCTTCAGCAGCATATTTAGAAACTAATTAGCTTGAAACCCAGAGCATGAGGAAAACATTTCAAGGATAGCACATCTCCTTTCCTTCTTTCTGACATTTTCCTGCTTTATGAGAGCTGCTGCTCCACTCCACACATTTTGATATTGTACCAGAATCCCTTCCCAACAAGTTGGGTGATGACAGAAATAGCAGTAAATGACTGCCTGTCAGCAAGGGGGTACTGAGGAAAAAGGGAGAGAACCTGATACCTTCATGCACACACCATGCAATAATTTATTCAGGTGTCAGGAGCAAGCCTTCCAGGTGAAAACCAGCTGACTCAGAACTCTGATTATTGAAAATGAATCCTTAATAGAAGTAAATGGCCAAGAACTAAATTTCTTGGCTGTGTTGGCCATTCAAAATTAATTGGAAAGTGGCTGATTTGAGAATATTATATCCTCTAGTGAACTGAAAATGCTGCCTTTTTTTTTCTCTGAAACCAAGAGTGGAGAATTAAATTAACTCTGAGGTTTGTTTGCTCAGAGTAGACCACCAAACTGGATTAATTAATCATCATTTATGAACACTCTATAACCCAGAGCAGTCAGAAAACTGCTAAGATAGCAGCATGACAGTAGAACTGTGATAAAAACAAATTATAAACTTCCTGCATCCCCAACCTACAGCAACTTTCCAGGCATTTCTTTGCAGTTCAGAACAAAATATCCTGGTGAAAATCCCCTTTCTTAGTGTCTATAGGAGTGCTCAGAACAAACAGATCGATTCACACTTGTTCTGTAACTTGCTGTGCTGTGCAGGGTCCTGGGCATCCCCAGTTCCATAGGGAATGCGAGGACTGTGCTTCCTTCCTCTACCTGGAGATGACAGAGTGTCATGTCAAGGATAAAAGACCTAATTCTAACTGTGCTGGGAATGATGGGCTGAAGCACATCTTCGTTTACCACATCTCTAAGGAGAAATGGCAGAGAAACTGTAATTTATGGGCACTTATCCAAACTCGCCATCATTTGGGCTTCTTTTTGCCTGCATGTCCCTTGTCCTCCACAGCTCTACTTCGTGTTCAGCTTGGCCTAAACCAACAGGACCCCAAACCACTGCAATCTGCTTTATTTCCTAAATTTGAACTTGGGTTTGTTCTCAAGTCTGAACTGAGTAGATTTATTTCTTTTTTCAAGAGAGAGTTTATAGTCTAAGGAAGTCTTTTCAGTGAGAAAAAAACAGAAGGCAAGAAAACAAATTCCTGTATCATGAATTTCACTAGAAAACGGAAATAACAAGAGAATTGAATTGCTGTAGACTTCTGCACAGGCTTCCTGGGGCCCACAGATGTGAGTGGCAGCAGCGCATTCGGGCAGAATTCATTCAGCTCTGGCCACAATTAGCTGTGCTGCTGATGACTTACATAAGTGTGACAAATGAGCAGCCATAAAACATCCATTCAGATCTTCCACCCGCACGCAGCTACACACCAATTGCACAAATTCATCAGAAGCAGCAGGGGTTTTTTCACAGCCTCTCAACGAATGTGCTGAGAGGAAAAAAAAAAATCCAATTTTTTCTACTTGCAGGCTTTGAAAAAAAGAAAAAGTGATCTTTAACTGATATATATAACTAATGGGTTAGAACCTCCCAAGCAGTTTTCTTCATCGGGGACCCCACGCACCTTGTGGTGTCACAAATGTGTATGACCTGGGGAGCAGTGGCTGTGGTGGAATGTGATCATAATTTAGCCTTCACTTTAGAAGGAAAACTTGGAGAGATAACAGAAAAAAAAAATACTAAACCTAGCAACCTCAGAAGGAAAGGAACAAGGCACAGGATTGTTCTGTCAATACTAAGGAATTCATCTAGTCCTGCCAACTAAACAATGGAAAAGCAGAAAGCATTCCCAGGTAAACACAAACCAATTTTGCTCTTCCAATAGGGAATTTTAAAACAACATAGAGGCTCTACAGCATGTGTACAGCTGTCCCAAGGCCACTTCCCACCACTGATGGACAGCAGCTTCCACTCCCATCCTGGGAGCACTTGGAGTGGAGAGCAGACACAGTAATGAACATGGGCACAGGAAATAAAATGCCATTCAATGGTTTTGCTTCCCCTTCAAGCAAAGACAAAAATGTTTCTGTCCAAACACTGACTTTGTTGCTTTCTTTAGAGACATTATATTTGGAAAATATTTGATTATCCTGTCAAGAGCATTAAAGTATAAACAGATGTGCAGAGCGGAAAGAGAGCAAAAGTTTAAAAAAGCGCGATTTTCAGGCATATAAATGATTTTGCTTCAGCAGCAGAAGGGTCATGAATATGAATAGCGCTGAATTCCAGAGCAGCCATTTGTCATTATTAAAATTAGTGCTTTGTCAACACAAAAATCTCCCTCCCAGCTTCCCCCTAAGCTGCTGCATGAGGGGATGAATTATCCTGCTCTGGCTCGGGAGGGATCAGCCGCCCCAGACTGAGAGGCTGTGTCCCAGGATGTGCACAAGAGAACCTGGCAGCTCTGAGTTCCCTGCCCTGCCATCCCACTGACACAGCCAGAAATCCAAGGGACTGCCCTCCACATCCCCTTCGGAGCCTCTGCTCTTTGTGAGCACGATGGAAAAGCAGAATTCATTTGGGTGGGACAGGAACTGAGCAAAAAATGCACTTCCACAGCACATGCACTTCCACAGCAAGAACACCACGGATGGCCGGCACAGCTCTGCTATGCACAAGGCCAAGCTACACCCCCTGCATCAACTCCTCCCTTCTGGCAAATCTTATTAAAGAAGCTGCTAAAGACAGTAAATGTGCATTTCCTCTCAGAACAGCAGAATTCCCACGGGACACCCAGCTCTGGCTCCTGGGCTTTCCAGCAATGGGCCAAGCAGCAGGAGGACAGGACCTAAAAGGGAACATTGATTCTGTTTAATTATGGAATGGCTGAGAGGATGAGGTGGAACATATTTATACCTAAGTTTGATAATGGATTTTTTTCATTGCAAGGGCTTGATCGATGGATAGGGAGAGTTTCAGATATCCACAGAAAGCAATCAGCCAATATTTTATTCACAACACGGGATTGCCATCCTTGAGATGGTGTTGCACTTCAGCTGTGCCCTTCAGAGGCAGGTAGCTAATTTTTGTTCAAAACCAAGTGTGTTTAGCTAAAGCTGTGCTAAGTTTGGCAGCTACAGAAGAAAAAAGGCTCTTTATTCTGCATCAATAGGGCTGTGCACCCAGAGCAAGCACACAAACTCTAAGTACAGAATGCAGTTTCAAGGCACTGGCTTATATTCAAATAATTTTTTTTAAAAGTCCTTTGTTTCTCTCTACTAACTGCTGTAGGTTTCATTTTCTATAACACACAAGCCTGCATATACAAACATTCCATATGGAGAATCCAAATTCTAGATCTAAGTGATGTGAAATAGCCCTAGAAACAAAAACCACACAGTGAAATGGTGTGATGGTCCTGCCATTAGTTTGCAAACAGTCTGATATCATCCATGCTCTAAACATGAGCAGTTAAAACCAATCACCTTTATCCCCAGTGATTTGGAGGTAGATAGCAAAGAACTAAATCCCATTTTACTCCATGAATAATGCATCATATCTGGGGCTTTTTTGCTTCCAAAAAGACCAACAGAGCAAAAGAAGTCAAAAGAGATGCCCAAAATCTTTTGGCTCCATGAATAGTGATTAACAGGCTCTTTTAAATTGGTTTGCAGCATAATGAAACTCCTAGAATAAGCTAATACTCATCTCCTACAAGTACATTTTAACATTAAAAACAATCTCATCCATTTTCAAGTGTAAACAAAGCACAAAGAGCACAGAGATTTACTTGCATACTTCATTTGGTGCAATAACATTAAATATCACTGGCAGACCCTTTAGCACTCATCAAACAAATGCTCCAGAAACAAGGTGATATTGTCCAGCAGCATCTCCTACAAGTGTTTTCCTTTTCATCACTTTAAAACAGTTTGCAGAAAGAACTTTTCACATTTGCAGGAGTTGAACTATCAAGGATTTGTTTGTGTTGGCTGGGGTTTATTTTGTGAGGAGAGCAAGATTTATTACCCTCCTTATAGTTTCTGGGGTAGTACACAGAGACATGCACCAAGTTCAGGGTAATTTTAAGACTTTGTTTATGTCAAATACTCAGGGTCATAAAACACACAGGCACTGGAATCCACCAAATCAATCCACAGAAAAAAAACAACTTGTACAGCTTCCAATCTTGCTTAACCGACGCCCAGAGCAGAATAAAAGGGAAGAATAAATTACCTTTTGTGGCATAAAGCGTGCAGAATGCAAGCCCGCTGCAGAAGGGTCATGAGGGACACTTTTTCCTAAGCTCCATCTGTCTCCCCCTTGGAGGAGGGCTAAAAGCCTTGTTAATAATTTAACAAACTAATGGAGACATTTTCAAGCACTGGGGGCTGTGGTTAAAGAAGCACCACCTTGGCACAGCAAGAGGGTGAGAGTGGGAAGCTGGTGGCTTCTCACTCCCCTGATGTGCTAGGGACAAGCCTGGGACAAGAGAGCAGGAGCCTGCAGGGTGCAAAGCTTCCTCTGGAGGTGGATCACTGCTAAAAACCTTCCTGAGCCACACACAGAGGTATTTTAAAGCATATCTCCAGCATACCTGACCCACACCCCAGGCTCCAAAGGAGTGCTGCATAAACACTGTCCCCCAAGCCTGGGTTGGGCAAGGCTTCAACTCAAACCACATCCAGCAGCCCTCCAGCACACCAATTCAATTCATTTTTGAACTTAAAATCTCAAAATTCACTAACCTGAATGACTCCTATAGCAGCTTTCAAAGGAGAAGGTGCAAGTCCTCTCTGACAACATCTCTGCCCCCCCTGTCTTGCACAACTTTATAATCTCCTTCCCATTTGTAATCATCTGAAGCAAGGCTCACCTGGACACAATTATCTCTCTACAAAGCAAACCTGGGAACCAGGTGTCCTCACTGTTGATAGATAATTTCTTCAGAATGAGGTGCTTCAGTCCCCCAAATCTGCCTGCAGCTGTAATCCAATTTGACTGTCAGTCCATCCTGGCTCAGGCCACTGCCTTGATTAAAACAGCCAACTGACAACATTCAGTTTGGTGCCATCTTCATAAAAGTAAATAATGACAATCTACAGGTAAAACAGCCACAAAACTGAGTTTAATCACCTCGTGGAAAGAAAATGCTGGGAAAAACATTTGTCACATTGTTCTTATAAACTCTCTTATCCCTCTGAAATAAATGATGAGATCTATGAGGCAGTGGCCACATAAAGGCTGATAAAAAGACAGAAGTTATATCAGCTTTAAGGAGAAAATGAAGACAGAGATACTTAGCTGAGATACCATCCTTCACAAAGCCTGGGAGCGTTTCTGTGTCAGAATTTATTCCCCTACTCACAGCCATGTGAGTAGCAAATGCTAGGCAAAGCAGCCAGCACCGGGGGGAGACAGCAAATTGGGTTTTTGATGTGCCATGCCTGAAAGGCTCCTCTTGCCCCCAGATCAGCATCTTCATGACCCACCTGTCCAACTACGGGAACGACCGCCTGGGCCTCTACACCTTTGCCAACCTTGCCAGCTTTGTCAAGAGCTGCACAAACCTGAGGCTGCAGACGCTGCCCCCCGTGCAGCTGGCTCAGAAGTACTTCCAGCTCTTCCCCGAGCAGACAGACCCCCTCTGGCAGGTAAAGGCACCTCCTCTTCCTCCTCCAGCTGCAACCTGCTCGTTGGAGCAAGCATCTTTTCCTCTAAAAAGACTTTTTTGAGCATGGGAATGTGAGCTCAATGCTGTAATTGAATGGTTACATGTACCTGCCTCTTCTCTTCCCTGGAATACCATGGGCCACACTGAACTAGCGGCTAAAATCCAGGGGGGCACCAAGGAGACCTGTGCAGTTACTTAGGGCTTACACTGGCAAAAAGGTGCAGAAAATTTCCCCTGTTATTTTTGGCCGAGCCACAAAGGAAGTATAAATCTATAATATTTCCACTGGGCTGCAGCAATCCATTCAGTTGATGATTTTCTCCGTCATATTTTGTTAATTTTATTCACCAGCAAAATGTATCCTCTGTTACCTATGCAAAAGCAGCATCTGTGTGATAACTGCTTTGAAGAGCAGCCAGTCCCAACCTCTTCTACGGGGCCTTTTGTTCACAGGTTTTTATTTTGCATTCATAGGTAGTAGAAAGATAAGGAGATGAATAATATCCCACATTTCTATTTTGTCCTTTCCTTTTGCATTCTCACGTAAATTAAAATTGGCACTAAGCCCCATGCATCCGAAACCATCCTGACAGCTCAGAAAGTAATGCCTCCAAGCTATTCAGAGGCTTCCATTTGAACCTCAAATGGAAACGTGATTAAATCAATGTTCCAATCTTTTTTTTCCCCTTCTTTTCTTTTTCTGCTAATGACTGAACCTTGTGCTCACTCATTCAAAACCATTGTGTGCACACTGTGGGATTTTGCTGCTCAGTGTAGGGCTCTGGCATTAGTGCTTAACACTGAGACCCTGCAAAGGTTTGGGATGCCCCACGTGCTGGCCACAACCACCTTTTGTCCTTCAGAACCCGTGTGACGATAAGCGACACAGGGATATTTGGTCCAGAGACAAAACGTGCGACCACCTGCCCAAATTCCTGGTGATAGGACCCCAGAAAACAGGTAAAGAGCTCAAAGAGAGCTTTCCAAAAGTTTCTGCAAAGTCAAAGGTGCTTTTTTAATTTTTAATACTTCCTAATGGCTATCCTTTTGTTGTCATAGGAACAACAGCCCTTTATCTATTCCTTCTGATGCATCCTTCCATTATCAGCAATCTCCCCAGTCCAAAAACTTTTGAGGAAGTTCAATTCTTCAGCGGCAACAACTACCACAAGGGAATTGACTGGTAAGAAGAATGACAAAAACAAGGTGCTCATTCTAAATACATGGAAAATCACAGTGGAGCAATTCTAGGAGCGGGTGTGACATGGCCTTAATTACTGGATGAATTCGTTATGCTGGGAATTATCAGATGGAAAGAGAATCTAATTGGTAGTGATGGGACATTTAATCAAGCCCCTAATTTTGTTTAGACATTACAGTAAGAATTTTCTGAGCTTTCACACAAATGACTGCAAGAGGCAGTTCTGCCATGAGTTCTGTCTTCATGCTGAATAACATCTCTGTCTTGTCATAGCTGTAGCTGCACTGACTTACACTCTGTTCCTTCCAAAGTGGCTTTTCATGAAGTAAGGTTCAATTTATCTCTTCACGAGGATCCATCCAATCAATTTTAAATGGAAAAGACCATTCAAAGCCAAAATTCAAATCTTGCATTCTGAAAGTGTCCAAAGGCAAAGATATGTCAGTTCCAAAATGAAATACTTCAACAATGTTAAAATTAAACAGTTTGACATTTAAATGTTGACATTAAATGTTGACATTTTGAAGGCTTTCCCATTTTTTTCTGCAGCTAAAACTGAACTCACTCCAAACTGGTGAATGATATCCCTTTGACACTGAAGTTATTAGCAAAAATCCCATCCATCACAGGAAAAACCTAATTACCAGACTTCATGAGGGCTTTAGCTGTTACCAGCACCACCTCACAGCCAAGATGCATTCCCATTACTCCAGTCTGGGCTGAGTGAAAAATTCAATTTTGCTTCTTGAGAATTATGTCTGAAAATTCACCTTCTCACCCACCATGAAATGGGAAGCACGGGGCCATGACCCTGTTGTGCTGCTGCTCATTCTGACACGTCTCTTCCCCTCCAAGGTACATGGAATTCTTCCCCACTCCTTCCAACGCCAGCACCGACCTCCTGTTTGAGAAAAGTGCCAACTATTTCCACTCTGAGGAAGCTCCCAGGAGAGCTGCTTCTCTCATCCCCAAGGCCAAGATCATCACCATCCTCATCGACCCGTCCGACCGCGCATACTCCTGGTACCAGGTAGGGAATTCTTTGCCCTGAGGAATGCACAGTGGAGCCAGTGGCAGGGGATGATGGCTGGCATCGCTGGGAATCCGTGTCCTTGAGCGAGTAATGGGAGTTGTGGCACAGCCTTGGCACCCTGCGGAAGCAGGAGGGTGCTGGGTGCCAGCTTTTGCAGTTGGCACCTGCGACACCGGTGTCAGGAATGATGAAAGTTCCCAGCACAGAGCTGCCACCAGCTGGAAGCAAACAATTTAATCTCAATTACAGCTGGCAGGGCAGAGAGGGAGAGCAGTGCTCCGTGCCCAGGGAGATGCACAGGGAAGAGGAGCGTGGCCCAGCCAGGGAATCAGAGCTCTGGATGCTGAGGGGCTGGCCCCGCTTCCCTTCCCCCTGCGTGTCAGCTCAGCAGTGTGCAGCGGTGCACAGATGGACCCAGTGTCTCCTGAAGTTTCCAAGGAGGTAAAAAGACCTGTGACTGGAGACGCTGCCCTTTTTCTCTCCTTGGAAACAAAAGCAAGCCTGTTGTTTTCCCCAGGACGCTCTTCCTTGCCTTTTACTGAGCCCACACCCTTCCATAACAAACTCTGCACTATTTAAAAATTCTATTTTCAGGGAAATGTATAAGCATGCTTGTGAAAAATGGCGTAGGCAAACACATAAAGGACACGCTAAATGCATTGTTAAAACAGACTCGGGTTGATAATGCTGCAATAGCATCATTTCTGATGCTGCAAGCAACAAAGCGCGGCCAGGGGCTGCAGTTTTGCATCCCGCCGGCGCCTTCCCGGGTGCGGAGACTTTGGAGATGCCAGCCTTCACCTGCGGCCCCGCGTGTGTCCCCGCAGCACCAGCGCTCGCACGAGGACCCGGCCGCGCTGAGGTTCAGCTTTTTGGAGGCGATCAGCTGCGGGCCGCGGGCGCCGCCGGAGCTGCGGGCGCTGCAGCGGCGCTGCCTGGCGCCCGGCTGCTACGCGCGGCACATCCACCGCTGGCTCTCGCACTTCCCGCCCGCCCAGGTAAGAGCCCGCCCGGCCCGCCGAGCCCAGAGCGGCCCCGGGGCTCCGGCAAAGCGCCAGATGTCGTGGGAAGGGCGGGCAAATCCGTCTAGGAAACGCCAGGGGTTTTTCTAAATAGGAGCTTCATCCTGCTCCCCGTGGGGATTCATGGGGTTAGAGGATTTTAGGAAAGCTGGGAAAAAGAAAGGCTTCAGAGACAGTGAAGATAGTGAAATGCTTAAGCAGCAGAAAAAGAGACATCGGCAGTAGCAAAGACATGAGAAATAGAACAATAAAGCTGTGTAGTTTGGCTTTCTAAGTTGCAAAAAGGTATATTTTAGTAAGTATTTAGAAGGTTAAATATGAATAGGGCTCTGTGCTTTGTCTTTTATGAACGAACCATTGTATGAGAGAAAAAGTTGCTATTGTTTTAACCAAAGCTACGTGTGCTTCATGTGGTTGGATAGAACGACTGCCAATATGCTTTTGCTCTATGTAATTGGCTGAAACTGGGTCTGAAACTATCTTAAAATATGTTGCAACGTTAAGTTTCCTCGGCCTGCTGTCTGACCTGCTGCTCTCATCAATCCATTGCCACAAGCCACGTAATGAGGCTGATGCTTGTTAAATAAACAGCTCACGACGCTGTTCAGGTGTGGTCCCGTTCCGTTCCTGTCTGTAAATAAACTGCCGGCGTCACTCCCCACTCAGTCCCTGTCACAGAAAGCTTCACATGTCTTTGATGCTCATATGGAATTGGCCTTTCTCGGGGCTGGAGCACAGATTTCTTCTTTTGCTCCCTCTTCCTTCAGATATTTTATTGAATTGTCTTTTATAACCTCTGCCATGAAAAACTTACCTAAGCCCATAGATCTAAAGAATATTTCCATTGTTGAAGTAGTAATAATAAAAAAATAACCTAAAGCCAGCATTTTTGTACTACAGAGTACATGCATGGGCACTCTTTATCCAAGGACATGGTCATATGGCAGTTCACACGTGTACCTCCTGTAAGGCAAGGCTGTAAAAGGCTCTTTCATCAGCAAGGATCCCCAGAGACTGCTCTGGTGGGACAGAATGCTGCTGAAAGGAGGCAGAGCTGAGCGTTGCCGACTTTGTCAGGGACCTGGGGAGGGGGGAGCCAAAAAACTCAAAAACCAACCAAACAAAAAAACCCAAAAAGAACTAGAAGCTCTGCCTTCTTCCAAGCCTCATTTTTCTTTTTATACATCCTCAGCTGTACTATAGAGAAGAGAAGCAGGTCAATCCCATTTCCAGGAGAAGGGAGAAAATCTCAGTTAGTCATTTACCTCCTTCTTTCCTCTCTGGCCTTTCCACTCTTTCATAAATGGGGAGGGAGTCCTCCCAGAGATGCTGAGGTAGCAGCAGGGGCAGTATTGCCCTGGGAGCAAACAGGCCACATCTCCTCCTCGCCCACCTCATCCCAACTTATTCTGCCAAAGGAGAGGGGGATGTCCTGGCAAACTCTGAGCATGCAGAGGGTGCTGAGCATCCCATGCCCTGTTCCCTGGGCTGCTCCTCTGCCTTCACCTGGAGCTGCTGCCTTTTCCCCTCAAGATTTCCCACAGGCAGATCATAAACCTCAACAATATTTTACATCCTTTCCTTATCTCTTCTCCTCAGAATTGTCTGAGTGTCAGGTTTGGCTTGGGAGGTTTAACTCCTGCAGTTGAACAAGGTGCACACACCGAGTTACAAGGTGCCCACCTACGTAAATCCAACTCAATAAAGGAAAAAGCAAACCTAAAAAGGAGTTCATCCACATGAATGCTTTTAGCACTGTACAAAGTCATTTAAAGCTAATTTAAATCCAGGTTGTCACAGAAGTGAAATAATGCCATTTTTTTGTTAACCTTAGTCCTGTTTCCAAATCAGTGCCATATTTACCCCTGCAGTTGCTCATTATCGATGGACAGCAGCTGAGAAGTGACCCTGCTACTGTGATGGATGAAGTGCAGAAGTTTCTGGGAGTCTCTTCTCACTACAATTACTCTGAAGCCCTAACGTGAGTGTTTTCCTTTTCTCATCTGCCCTGTGGGATCCCAGGGTACATCCCCTCCCACGAGGATCCCTTCATTATTAATTACAAACACATCAGGATAACAATAACTTTGAGAAGCTTGGGGTTCTCTTCCATCAGTCTCCAGGAGCTGAAGCCTGGAGTGTCAGGTGTGGGAAGCTTGGATTTCTCATTCCAAAGGAGCCTGATGGCAGAGGCTGGGTGAGAAGCACTCGTTCCATAATCCCATTTTCCTGTCTGGATTTCCGCCTACAGCTGACACTCCTGCAGGGGTGGGAGTGGGCTGAATTCCCCTCTCCCCTCTTAGTCCAGCAGAAAATTGTAAGAAGCTTTTGCTCTGAGCCTCCCTGTGTGAGGAGCATCACCTCCTTACAGCCCCAGCCCTGGGATATCCATGAGCTGGGAAGCCTGGCACTGTTTTTCCAAGCCCTGAGCCAGCACATGGAGTGGGAAGCAGCAAAGCCTCTGCTCCGCCTTCCCTGCAGGCTGGTCCTGAGGGAAACACAACCACAGACTTTGCAGCTGCCCCACACTGCTCCTGTCTGCTTGCAATTACCATCTAATGTTTCCTCCCTGGCAGGGTTCAGCTTATTTATATCACAGGTTCAAAGGAAGACTTCAGTGCTTAAGGAAGTTGCTCTGCCAAAACCTTTTTCTAGAGGAAGAATTTTGGATTTCAGAAGGCAATTTTTTAAGTCACTGGTTTCCAAAGAGGATGGAGGGAGGAGGATTCTGATCACAGAGCTGAGCTATTGATGTTTGAACAACTCACAACTGCACATCTGCAGTGCCTTCTGCTGGGTTTTTAAAATCCACACCCACAGACATGCATCTTCCTTGCTGGAACTAAATTAAAGTCAGTGGAGTCACACAGCAGGAAGAAATTTGGCCTCTCATACTGGTTTGGACAGGAAAAATGGATTGTAAACAGATCCATAAAATTATGCACTCCCTGTTTAGAGGCATCAAGAATGCAAATGTGCTGTGGAAGCACACACTTCTGCACGGATTTGGGATGGAAGGGGAAAATGCATTAAAGTGTGTAGCTGCTTTCTGGCAGGGCTTGTCAAAGGGGAAAAGATTGCATAGGATTGTTCCTAGTCATTACTGCCTAACAACTGCACAGCACACATTCTTAAAGGTGTCAGGAAGCAGCCTAAGGACCCAGTCCTGTGAACAGCACTGAGCAACAAGTCCATCACCCTGAGTCATTGTGTGAAAGTCTTGCAGGAGAGTAAAATCAGCCCAGGCAGAAGGGAGCCATGGGAGGGGAGCAGAAGGGACACAGAGGCAGGGCTCGAGGAAAACACAAGATGAGAGGAGTGTGCTTAGGAAAGTGTTCTCCCTTGGAGGGCTGCTATGTTCTGTCAGAGAGTGAGAGAAAGATCCTCATGGTGGCATTGCTTGGCTCTGCCCTCGCAGGCATTCCCTGCCTCTGCCCCAGGCTTACTCTGCAGGGAAGGGAAGACAACCAGGCCTCCAAGGATTTCTGCTGACAGCTCTAAAATGCTCCCCTGTAGCTTTAGCCTTAGGGCTATCACTATTTTTAAATAAATACCTCCACTGTGCCCAATTACGTTTACGGAAGCCCTGAGAGCTCTGTGATTTCTGAATGCAGAGGGTTGAATTCAGCTCAAACTGCCTCACCCTCTTTTCCCCTTCCCAAATTTGCACATCCTTTTCATAATGTTCAATAAGCTCCTTCTGAGGCAGAAAGATTGTTTGGGGCATAGTTTTGCAGTTTCCCTTTTACCCAGCACACGATGCTGCTTGCATCTTGGGAAATTAATGCAAGGCAGCTAAAGCACTTCACCATGCAAGGAGCAGATGGGAAAGGCCGAAGCAGAAATTAATCTATCATCAATATACCCATTTAATCAATGATTTATTTGTTTTTAATTGATACAGCTACAGAGACAATTTAGGAAACAACGGTCAGGCTGCATTAATAGGCTGGTCAAGGAAAAGCCCATGGAGGGGGTTCACCCTTCTCCTGAAATTCGCCCACTTCTGCACGGCAGCAAATTGCAGGTGCATCCGTATTGTGGGGACAGAGCAGGGGCAGAAAGGTGGTGTGTAACTAATTAACTCTGTGTTCCAGCCAATTATCCTTCATCCTTCTCAAACATCTGCTGAGCAGCAGGAATGTGCAGCGTTGGGATGGTTTATGCCTGCTGCAAGTCCCACAGCAATAAATTCCAAACTCAACACCACGCGCCGTTTGCTCCTCAGCGAGCGCCTGCTTCCAAACCTTCATCTGAACCTCTTCTATCTCTGCATTTCAGACATCACAATCAGGTTTCAGATAAGGCTGCAAAGACAGTGTTTATGCTACAATGCCATCCTGGGAACAAAAATGGTATTTGATGCAGTGATAGAGAGCAGCAGCTTCTTCTTCAGACGGGTTAAATCATCAGCACCCAAGCAGTGCTTCCTTAGGAGAGCTGTGCATCACCCTATGGGCTGGACAAGGACAACAAAAATTAGCCAGTGCAGGTAGAGCACAGTGGGAAAAACTTCCTGCTTTTAGGCACTTCCAAGGCAGATTTGTGGGAAAAAATGAATTCCCAGAGTTTACACGGGAGAGGAAAGCTGTTTCTCACTCTGTCCTCACAATTCCAGTCATCTAGAGATGTGTGCAGCATAACTGTGGACTGACACTGATGTCTCAGTAGCCAGGAGATGTTTCTGAAGCAAGATCTTTTAAAAGATCTGATCCTCCACAGGTTTGACCCTCAGAAAGGCTTCTGGTGCCAGTTATTGGAAGGAGGGAAAACAAAGTGCCTGGGGAAAAGCAAAGGTCGGAAATACCCACCAATGGACCAAGAGGTAAGGGCTTTCAAGAAGTCTATGGGAGCACTTTTAATACTGACCCTAATTTATTTTTTCTTTGTTGCATTTTCACTGGGTTGATATTTTTAAAAATCAGGAACTCGAGCTTTGGGAGAGAAGGAATTGAGTTCCTCCCGTGAGAGCCCTCTGTGGGATGGGATTCCTTTAACCTGATCTTGCTGTGTTTCTCCCCGCTCAGTCCCGAGCGTTCCTGTCGAGCTACTACCGGGAGCACAACGTGGAGCTGTCCAAGCTGCTGCACCGGCTGGGCCAGCCGCTGCCCTCCTGGCTGCGGCAGGAGCTGCAGAAGCTCAGGTAGCCCGGGGCGACCCGGCCAGGCGCCCCGCTGCCCCGGCACCGTCAGGACAGGACCTCACGGACCCCGCGAAACCACACAAACCACAGGAGAACCAACAGAGGAGCCCCAAACCCGCAAGTGCTGGCATGCCCGGCGGAGCGGCATCGAGCCCTTCTGCCGGCTCCCGGGAGAGCGCCCGGCGGCGGCGGCGGCCCTGGATCCTCCCTGCCCCGGGAAGGGCCGGGAGCTCTGTGCGGGACCGGCGGAGCCGGGCCGGACACGGCAAAGGATGGGAACGCCGCTCGCCGCACTGGGAGGTTGGTCCTGCGCTGGGCTCTTCCCGCTTTTCTTTTCAAACCCTTTCACGCTGCAGCAGTGCACTGCCCGTGGCCTGGTATGGAAAGCTGGCTTCTGTCTGCAGAGCAGCGCTGAAGCCTTCAGACACCTTCAGACACCTTCAGACACCGGGTGGGTCTTTTAGGGTCTTCTTCAGGCAGGTTAAATCATCAGCGCCCAACCAGCGCTTCCTTAGGAGAGCTGTGCTTTTTCTGCAAGCTGGTGCAGAAAAATAACTGTAATTGCCTTTCTAAATGGTCTGGACACAAAGCAGGCTGCTGAAGAACAAGCTCTTCCTGCAGACTTTTAGGGAGTTGAAAGGACAAACACAGCCCCTGCATATCACACACACCTGTATGACATACGTGTCTTCGTTCCTGAATGTCTGCCTAGTGTATCTCTGGATCAGACACACACTTAGTTTTAAATATCTGCTTTTTGTGCCCACAGGGAAATGAAAGGGTGGCTTACCAAAAATATGACATAAACTCTGCTTGGTTCTCAGAGCTGTAGGGGCAAGGTCAGCGAGGCAGGGCAGAAACTCCTTGCTTGTCCTCTATGGAGGTCATTCCTCACATCTGGAAGTGGTAAACAGATGTATTTGTATGTCACATAGAAACTCACACTCCCTTATCTTAGAGCACTGGCAACACCACAGATGACTGGAGTAATGAGAGCTTTGGGTAAGTAAGGCTTGGGCAGAGAGGAGTATCTAAAAGGAGCATTTGATAAAATTATAGCTGTTAAAATGCATTAAAATTGGCTCAGCTTTAATTAAAAGAAGACTGCCTCACTCTTGATTAAAAGCTGAATAAACATGACACTGGTTTCAGGAGCTTTTCAAGGAAATGAGACAAACACTAGAGAATCCAGAAAATTATTTCTTGTTCTTAGTTTTTTATTTAGAAAGAAGTCTGTCTCTCTAACTCTCAGCTCTGTACTGGCACCATGTCCTGAAAATCCACCAGCTATTTTTATTTTTATGTCATTTTTTAAGTTTGAATAGGCCTCACATTGCCGCGAGATCTCGTGTTCCATTGAGGACTGACATTTGAATTGAGTTCTTCATGTGTCACCAAGATGAAATAACATTATTTCCAAGTTTCACTCCCTCCACTTGTAAGAGGAGCCATCAGCACAGAATTCCTCTGGACCACCGTGTGACAGAGGAGCCTTTGTGAACTGTCTGGAAATGATCTCCTTTGCTTTTGATGCCTTTTTATGTCACTGACCACATCATTGTTGGGACTCTTACAGACCAGCAAAACAAAGGCAGCAAAAATGAAACAATTATTGATGGCAAGAGCGCTGTGGCCGGGAAAGATCCTGCTGGTCCTTTTTTCCTGTTTGTAAGCCACAGGATTCCTGTCCTTCCCGTGCTGCAGGCTGCAGTTCAGAGTTCCACACACTGCTGCGGGGGGGCTGCAGCTGCAGTTTGCTCCCATTCCCCTGGAAATGAGGGTTCCAGGCCAGGCACAGGGGTCGGGGCCGTGGCAGCAGGGTTGATGATGACAGCAGAGCTTTGGCCCTCAGAAAGCTGAGCTCATAAAATCGAGGCTGTTTTTGAGCGAGGAGCAATCAGAACGGAATCCAAACCCCTCTAAATTATGCATTGACCTCTCAAGGTCTAAAATAAAGTTGTGGGATTAACTGCTCCGCGATGTTGTCTAATAAACCAAATTTCCTCTCTGATAGGGGAGCAGGCTGCAGAGAGTCCCCAAAACAAATTAAAATGGTGGAATTAGAAATTCTTGGGGGAGGAAGTGGTTGTGTAATGAAGGCGCCGATGGGTCCAGGCTCTCTGATGTGATAACAAGGCAGTGGGGATGTGCCCTGAATACAGAATCCAGAGCTGAGTGCTTTCTCCTCTTCCTTCCCCTCCCTGCCCATTCTGAGGCAGGGAGATGGGGTGTCTTTCATCCATCCCCTGAACGGTCGGGGTGTGGGGAGCCCATTTCCCCTCTGCTGGGCCACCCAAAAGGGAGACATCACCCACTCATTTACCTCCCATCAGTAACAAATTATGTTCGTCATGGGCTTAAAATTGATGTTTCTAACAGGAATATGAGTGTGTCAAACAGGTACAGCACAGGAACATAAATCAGCAGTGACCACTTGGCTGATTTTACTGTACTGAAATAAGGCTAAATTTGGGGGTTCTTTTAGATAACTCTGTGTTCATGGGACAGGAATTTCCCTGCCAGACAACGTTTCTTACTCTGTCTTTATTTCTCTTTTTGTGCTTCCAGTTCATCCTTTTAGTGTGACTGCAAAGGTGTGGACCTGCCCACGGACTCAATTCGTCCATCACTCTCCTTTCTAGAAAAGCTGCCAAAAAGAAATAAGGATTTGCAAGCGACACAGATTCTGAAGTGTTCAGTGCTCCAGTGACTGGATAACTTTTATAAGACTTATTATGATTTCTGTCGTATTTCAGAACAAAGGACATCCTGTTGATAGAGCTGAGGAAAAACTTCACTGTCTTGCCCAAGCTCTTTTTTTTTTTTAATTTTTCTTTCCCCTCCAACGTGACGACAGCAAGTCCAGTTGAACAAATACTTGGTGTTGAAGCAGAAGGAATTAAAATAAATTTTGATCACTCAAAGTATTTTTGTTGGGGGGTGGGGTTGGTGAGGGAGGTCAAGGGCTGTACTTGCTGGAATTGTTTTAAATAATTGATGTGCACACAGCTGATTATCAGTTCTTCTCACTGCCACAGAATAAACACTTCTGATGGTGCATTACAGAGACAGCTTTGCCTCTTTCCTTAAACCCTCCTTCCCATTTCCCGAGCCAAAATCTGCTCTTCAACAGCCTCAGCCATGTACTTGAAACCATGCACCTTCCCAGCTCCTCCTGCCTCAGCATCTCCCCACACACCTTTCTGGGCCTGCTCTCCCAAAGTTTGGCCTCCTTGCACCCCACAGGACAGGGACATGCAGCCCCAAGCAAGCTCTTGCCCCAGTTAAAAATAATTTCCTTCTGCTCCATTTGAGGAATTTTAAAAGGCCCTGATTCCAGCTATTGCACATTCCTCAAACTGTGCACTTAGAAGTATGAGACAGATTTTATGCCTAAAATCTCATCATGCTTACATTTTTTATTATAAAATATTCATTTGTTTCACTGATCTGTGTCAGAATGAGGTTAAATCATATCAGAGTCATGGATACTTTCTACAAACCTTCCAGATTAGCAAATTCAACCTCCTGAGAGCTTCTATCATTGAGCAAAGTAGAAATGACATTACAGATATCTCACCACAAGTTTTGTCTTTTTTTTCCAGGTCTGACTGGTGCTTGTAGAAAAATTTTCAAAGGTAACTAAATTTTCAAAGTATTTTAGGAGTCTACATCTGTTAAAAAAAAAAAAACAAACAAAAAAAACCAAAAAAACCTACCCAAACTTGTAGACCCTAAAAATCAGCTGGCTTTCTATCAGGCTTTCCAGGCCCAGGCAAACTTCCTGCCTCAGTCTTAATTAACAAAATAATAGCAGAATTTTTCCAAAAGTTTACTACTTCCAGAAAATTCACGAATCAGAGTATTCCCACCTGGAAACCTGAAAGCACCGAACAAGCTTGTGAGGTGATCTGTTTCTGTGTGCAGTGTGGGAGAGGAAAGGGAAAGGGAGAGGAGAGCTCTTTGTCAGGCCTGTAAATATCCAAATCCCAGTCAGCAACTGATTTATAGAATGGCAGGAATGAATCCTGCATATAATTTCTACTCCTGTTTCTGCTCGTAAGGAATTAAAGACTTCCCAGGAAACCAGATTGATATTTGCACCTCAGTCAGCTGCAGCTGCTGGGTGGGGAGAAAAGCATTTCAAACATTTCAATAAAGCCGTATCTGCCACTTTGGGTTTGCAAAGCTGTTTGTCCTGCTGCAGCTCCCTCTCACCAGGCCCAGGCCAGTTTTATAGTGCTCCTATTTCTTTGGGAATGGGAATGTGACACGTTAATACACAGATCTGTCTCCATTGCAGAAGGTCAGGGGGGTTTATGGGCTGGTAGTTGGAGCCCTCCTGGGGTTGTCTCAGAGGTTATTTTCAGCCAGGGGAAGGTCAGCAGCAGGTGGAGTAGGATTTCTCAATCCAGGTTGCAGTTCCATAAAATGCTGTGGGGGCTGCAAAGTGTGGTTTATAATTTGGGAGTTAATTGCATGCCATTCAGTTGACTTTGTACTTGCCATTTCTCGGGTCTGGTGGATGTTCTGCTGCCTTGCAGAACTTGTCTGTAACACACATCCCCTGCTGGGTGATTTAGCTTCCCTTCAGAGAAGGAGCTGAGCTACAAGGAAGAGCTGGATGTTGGAGGGGATGAGTTTGTTCAGAACTTGCTCTGAGGCAGATATGTATTTACAGTTTTTCTTTAACTCTGGGTGTGTGTGTTTCACTGTGCTTGCCCTGGCTGGGGAATCCTCTCCATATTAAATCTGCATGCCCTCCAAAGGCACACAATTCCCGTCAGCATCGGTGACAATTAAATATCCTGGTGAAGGAGAGAATAAACCCACTGACAGAAAATGTTATTTAATGACATTGTAGCTGCAACACATCTTCCTGCAGAGCCTTGTGTAATCACACCAAGTAAGCAAAGAGAAATTGTTCTGCAACGTGAAGTGTTTAAAATTTCATAAGCAATCTGATCTTAAAAAAAATTAAAAAAAAAAAAAAGAAAGAAAAGCACAAAATCACCTTTTGGGTACCTTCTTATTTTAGGAGAAAGTTTTGTATCTTAGATTTTGCCTTCCTACAAGGAAGTACTGGAGCCTGCTTCCCCTTTGTGCTTTCCTACTCGCCCACACTCCTTGGGGCTACTTCTCATCATCAACATCTATTCATTCACCTGCAAATTTCAATCCCAACTGAATTTCTTCCTTGGCTAAGTTCTGCTCCCTGCTTCCAGAGAGGAAGACTGCACCTCTCAGGGAAGAATCACCTTTCGTTTCCTAGACCATACAGGCTTCAATTACTTTTAGGTTAACCCAGTTAATTAAGACAATGTGTTCTAGGAGAGTGCTGAGGATCTCACTGATGTGGTTTTCCTGCATCATTCCCACAGTTTTTCCACTGTTGCAATGCAGGGAAGCTCCTTGGTCACAAAGCACAGCAGAGCTGGATGGCACCATGTGTAAATCTGCCATCATTAGGCTGGGAGCTGCAGTTAAATTATAAATTGTCATCCTAAGTAGGAAGAACATTTTTATGGATCCTGGCTCACCCTCTGCAGGCTTCAGCTATTTCCAGTAACTGCCACACAGAGCACACTACAATTTGTCAGCTGCTTGGAAAAGGAGAGTTGAGCCTGGAGACTTAAATCCCTTCAACCTTCTTAAAAGATATGATCCCATACCGGGGGATGAACGCTTAGGAAGGCACAGGGAGGCAATCCAAAGCAGCCAGGACAATCAGAAGGGACAAGCACCTCAGCACAGCTCTGAAACTCATTTCTCCAAAGGTCAGATGCACAGCCAGGAAGCCTCTTTTATTTCCCTTCACGTTAGAGAAGTGGCAGAATAAGAAACATTTGGAGGCTTGCCTGGGTTGCTGTGGGAAGGTGTCGTGTCAAGGCTTTAACACAGACCACGCTGTCACATTCTTTCTAAAGCCCAGCTCATGACAAGCAATTTTTTCCCCCCTCCCACGGGGGACAAGCTGAGACATAAAATTTTGGCAGACGTGTTTTATATTGGTGACATCCTGTGACAGGGTTTTGGCTCTGGTGTGCAAAACATCTGTAGAACAGAGGATTTTTATTGCCACAGGAGCCTGCTCGGCAGCTGAAGGTTTTAGTGTGGATCCTAAATCACCATTCCTGTAGTGCTGCAGATCCTTTTTTCCAAAATAGCTCCATATTTTCATAAAACCCAAGTGCTTTTACTTAAGGCTTGGCATGCTCACAGAACAGACCCAGCCAGTAATCAGAGAACGAGGGGAACTGTGCAGGGTGAGCCCATGAGTGGGCCCAGAAGAGGCAGGAATCAGGAAAATACTGTAAATTAGGATGCTTGTTTATAGGGAAATCCCTAAGGAAGAGAACTGTGAGTCCTCTTGGAAATCTCGGTTGCATTTAGAAAATTTACACAAAGGCTTCAGTGCTTTTACAGCTCTGACAGTCTGACAACTGCAGCTCTCAGAAACTGTCAGGAAAGCACAGGCTGGGCAATTCCTCACCCTTCCCTCCTCAGGCAGGGGCTGACACACCTGCGCATGGACCTGGCCAGGCTGTTTCCATCCAGGGTCCTTTGGAAATGAGCAACTCTTTTTTGCCCCCACTTCACACCTTGTCTCCCCCAGACCACCCTGGGGAATTGGGCTCTGAGGGAAGGGAAGGGAAGGGAAGGGAAGGGAAGGGAAGGGAAGGGAAGGGAAGGGAAGAACTTCCCAACAGCCCACTCAGTGTGGGATTTTTTTCATAAAACATTATTTGACAAAATACTGAGTGCTAAAGTAGAAATATCCCTCGCAGACTTGACTTTGCCATGGACCTATTTAACACTGGCACATTAAACACATTTTTATTTTACACATTAAAGAATATTAATTCTGGACACTTAACAGTGACACAATGAAGACATTATAAAATTTAGTAATGTGCAATAAAACTACCTTCATAAGTGCCCAACCATAAGTACATCCATTTTCTGGTTTCCTTCTAGTATTAAGTTTTGCACTCTTGCACCTTCAATTACAGAGCTTAGTGTCCATTTAAAATTATTTTGCCCACAGATAATTCCCTTTCATTTTGGCTGCCTTTTCCATTAGCCACCTGTTGATTAATGGCCTCAATAATTTATTCCTTCTCAGTTTTATTGTTTTTCCAATGGAAGAGCTGAACTGTGGGGCAGACTCCCACCCTCCTGTGTAATAAAGGGGCAGAGGAAAACTCTGCAGCTCCTTGTGTTGGGATTACAGAGGGCTTTCCCATAAAGCAGGAGCTGGGCACTGCAGGGAGTGTCTGCTGGCACCTGAGGGGAAAGCTTGGAGATGCAGTTTGCTGCAGTGCTGAGAACCATCACTGCACTCAGAGATGTGTGGATGGAGAGGAGACCATAAAGCCAGGGAGAAATCATTGAAAGCGGGGAATAGGAAATGAGTAACACATCCCTGCAGGAGAAAGCACTTCTTTGGAGACAGCTGAAGGTTTTAGTATGGATCTATGGAAAACAAAGTTGGAGTTCCTAGCAAACCACCTCAGGAAAACCAAGACCACGAGATGCTCTGTAGGATCCCTTCCAAGCCAAACCCATCCATGATCCTATGAATTGCTATATAAAATCCAGCTGACCGACCTGACACCTGAGGGATTTCCCAAATTAAGAAGCATATTCCAGTCTCTCCTCACAGCACACAGGTTTCACGAACTCTGTCACAGGGTTAAGCTTGTGTCTAATTTGAGAGGTGACTGCGATGTATCATTTTAGCAAGTGAGAGTAGGAGAAAATTGGCAGCGGCGCAAAGAGTGACTCCTCATCCTAGGGAATTCAGTGGCACAGGGATTGGACATCCCACCTCAAGGGGTGCTTCAGTAGGGCCTGGAGCACAGGAGCAATTACCAGGTTTGAATATTTGGTGTTACTAAATGTTGGAGCAGTGCTCGAGGTGCTTTCAGATACGAGCCAGCAGCTGGAAGCCAAACCTGCCTGGCACGCCTTCACCAGGAGCTTCACCAGGAATTCCCAGCGCTCTGGGAGATCCTGGGGTCCACCACAGCATCACC